TGGTCTCAGAAAAATTATTACATGTATATTGAGGACTACAGCCTCTTTTTTCCCAATGTGTTCCTTTGGACTGTCGCCGTTCTTTCTACATACAACTGTTTTAATATATGTCACTAGTACAGCCGGTTCTGATTCATATGGCTTTGATGGACAGAGTGGGGGAAAAAGCCAAACCAAAGACCAAAACAGACAGGTCCAAAAATCGTAAATTGTGACGAAAGCCACCCACCCCCAATACTCTTCATTTCTTTTTGGATGCAATGACTGACAATTACTTGGCAACAAATCCCCACTGTCTCTGATATTTCTATTTTAACCATTTCAAAGATATACATGTAGTAAGGATGCCCAACATCAAGGAGATAGTCGCATTAGAATTCAACAGCATACTGGGTCATCAATGTGCAACACAGCAATATACTGCCATAAGCTGAGAGAAAGCCATTTCTTTATTCACAGCAGTTTCGAGAAAAGGAGTTTTTTTGTCAGCGTAACCATTGGAAAATAAGGAGCGCTTCCAAAAATTGGAATTCTAATTTATTCAAAAACTAGTGATGGTTTCACTTCGATTTTTTTCACACAAGTAGGGTAACTGATCAGGCTTTCAATTTAGCAAAAAAAAATTTTTTGGTGCCAAAATGAAAATCGGAGTTTTGTCAGCTTACAGCAGTATAGTATTAATATGGCAGGCAGAGCCAATTCAGGTCTCACTTGAGGAAGGAAAGAAATCAGTAACTAGTTTGCTCAAAACTGTTTTCATTTTGGGAACTGGCAAATTATACTCATGAATGGAAAGAATAAAGTAAAATTAAACTCAAATAAATAGTTTGTTCCTAACATCGCTCATGGAAGAGAACAAAAATTCTAAAACCTTATTTTCTAAATAACAAAGAAAGAAAAAAAAATAACAGATCATAAAAATTTCTTCAAAAAGAGTTGAAGGACATGGACAAACAAAAATGTGCTCAGATTTCCAAAAACATCACTTACTGCTGTAAATGGAAATGACATTTTTAAAATCACTATATTCTCTAAATTCTTCAATGCTAACATAAACATTAATCTTCTTCATCCAGTCAAGTAACTGCAATAATTCAGAAATTCTCAAACTACCATACTTCCACACACATCCTACTGTACTAATGATATAATATAAAGTGCTTTATATTGTACAATGACCTTACGGATTAAATGCCGACACAATGACTAGGGAAAAAAAGAGCATTATACTTCAGCGCATCACCACCTTTACCTAGATTATATTGTAGTCATGATTTGTGCTCACTCACTTCAGGTTCAAGCGTCTCTACAGTGTGCCATTACACTATGTTAGTCAGGTCAGTCTGACACCGGTGCACCCACCTAATCGCTACCTCAGAATTACAAAGTTCTACCTGCTCAGTACCTAGTTTGGAGAAATTTGACGATAAAAATGTCGAGTTTCACAACATCATCGCCCAAGAACTATTTTGTCCAAAGTGCCTCTTTACTTAAGTACACTTTGGACAAATTACTTCTGAGGAGACGACATGTCAAGCTTTTTCTAATGCAATTCTTTGAATATCTTGAAAACGAATCAGAATAATCTTATATGATTTTAATAGAGCAGATAGAGCATATGATTTCTAACCTCATGCTCTGAGTAACTCAAAATGGCCAAAAAGTCAGATAGAACTTTGTAAAATTCTGAGGTAGCGTAATGTTATGAAAGTTACAATGTAATTATATTATTATGATTGCCAGAACTTATACCACACAGACTGCCCTCACCATTGCTTTATCGACAATATTTCTCTGACATATTGTTGTCAGCGGTATTCCACAAGCGCCCATCACAAAAAAAAAACAAAAAAAAAAAAAAGAACTGAGAAAAAGAAAAGAAAAATAGAGTGTCTACATCAGAACCAAAACGTGAGCATTTGTATACTTCAATTAAAAACTAGGAAGAAAATATTGAAAAAGAAAAGAAAAAGAGTGTGTCTACATCAGAACCAAACCTTGAGCATTCGTATACTTCAAGTAACAACTAGGAAGAGAATATTGAAACAGAAAGAAACTATACTGTAACATGTCCCCCTTGATGTCTTTATTCGAAAAAAAACCGGCATAGTCTGGAAACCCCCAGAAACTGATTTCGGCAAAGTGTGGTATGACGCTGACAACACAAAGTCTAGATAATTTTCCTAAACGTATAGAGCTGATGAAACATGATATGGTAAGTATGCGAGCTCGGGGTAAGTGTAAAATAAAAGCATGACCAGAACATTTCATACATCTTTCCTCGTCGTTTCCAGCTGACAAAATTCAAGATATGTGCAGCCCAAAGTTTTTAAAAAAAAAAGAAAAGAAAAACCCAAAACAAATTAAGACCCAAGAGAGGGAGGCAACTGCCAAAGATCATGATAACGTCTGCCCGTTGGAATATAGACAAACACACACACATTTCCAAATGCACACACTGGCAAAACGTTCATTCATGTGTGTTCGCACGTATGCATATACACAGGTCAGATGGCCATATAAAGACATAACATACATCATGATCTTATCCACATACTTACAGTGTTAACTATGTACTAAGCTGCTGCTTATTGTGAACTTATAGAACATTTTTTAAAAGTATTCTTTGAAAAGCCAGAGAAGCTCAAAGGAGAAGAAAAGGAAAGAGCACTGGTAGAAAAACAATTCCATTTTTCCTGTGCGTGGCACATTTATGTATCGGTGTCCAGACTTGATGCTTGAGGGGGGGAAGGGGGGGAGACTCATTTATACACCTTACGCTTGCACACTGACACACTGAACGAGCACCAGATTCTCTGGACCACAGGGTCACAGTTAAGTGTGAGTTTGGCCAACGAGGCAAGTGGCAAGCAGAACACAGAGCCCTGAGAAAGGAAAACTCCCAATGGAACAGCCCCTTTCCAAACGCAGATTATTTCTGGGTGAGCAGAGTATGGCTAGCAGCGATGCCTCTGCTGAAGTGGCTGTAAGGAATGAGACAATCGGTTGGAAAACAACATAAACACAAGTCAAAGAGGACCTCAGAAAAGTTCTGGAACTACTATGAATGCTGGCAGATAGACTGGACAACTTGCCAGAGAAAAAAAACAACAACAAACGAATGCAAACGCATATTCAACCCCACAACACAATATAATTTATATATATATATGAGGAATAAAAACAAATAATGTCAAACCCTCAGCATCCATGTAAGCCAAACAAGACTACAGAAGATTTAACATCTGCTGAGTGAGCGAGAGAAAAAGAGGAGGAGCAGAAAAAAAAAGAAAGAAAAAGCGAGTCTTAATTTGAATAATCCCCTGAGCTACAAACAAAAATGAGAGATCTAAAATTGATCAAATTCCTCAAAGGTCTGTTCTCCTATCACCCCACTCAAATACAGTGAGCAGTCAAAAAGGGGGGGGGGGGACATCTAAAACGACCTCACCTATCATTTTCAAGATAGCTGCAGTGTGCCTCTGAAAGTTGAAAGACGTAAGAGGAAATTTATAAGAGAAATTTGTCAGTTTGTCAGAAGAGCTATCGCACCCCATAAAATGTTATTTAAAAAAAAAAAAGAAGATATATTTAAAGTAACAAACAGAATGAAGTGACATCGTTCTTGTACTTTGGGTTAAACATATTTCATCCACCTTCTGCCTTTACAGCTAGAGACGTTGCCAGCCCTAAAGAGCTTGTAAACATAGCAACTGAACTGGAATTCTGCATGCTTTTACAATTGTGTCGTCAGCTGACATCTTGGGAGCAGCAACATTAATAGCCAGCTACTCCTCTACAGTGGATACCTTCAAGCTTCCCCCAGCACTAGACAAGGGCACACCCCGTGGGGCAGTGCCACTGATTGTAGTGTCTTTAGGCCATTCCCAAAGGGGGGACATTTCTCGTTCAAGCATAGTAGAATTGCAAATGGGCTGACTCATGTCACGCTCATAACCGTGCCTGATCTACAACAGGGAAATGCTGCTTTTTCTTTCCTGATCCTTACTATTGTCATTTTCCTCTACTTCTTTTGTATGTTTGTCACTCTCTTGTGACCTGCTATTTCCAGGGTGCCTTGATAGTTGAAGCAGACCTTGTGCTGTTGAAGCTAGAGAGGTGAGCAGTGTAAGTCTGATTCCCTGTAAAGACTTCTCTGTTGACACCCACCCCTTGGCGCTCATATGACCTTATGCAGTTGCGAGCGAAAAGGACAATGGCACAACTGCTAGGCAAGAGGTAAACCTGACCTGACAAAACCCAGCATTTCGCTTAAGGGTAAACAGCATCATACATCTTTTCTTTTTCTGTTGAAAACAGAAAGACAAACACTATAATTTAGTTATGTACGAGTAAACCAGTTCAGTATTCTTCTGCTCTGAGATATATACAAATGTAACTGTAAGTGTTTTATACCCCCATCGACACTATTTACATCGTTTAGGAGGCTGGCTACTTCGACTCTGCCTGTCAGGAACAATTTGGGTTGAGAGGGATATTATATCCCAGCAAAACAAAGAGAGATATTCTACAGAAAGAGAAAAAAAAAAAATTTCAATCTCCACATCCGGGAATTAAACTCACTTTTTCTGCATGCAATGGTAAAGCAATTTACCACTACATTATAGACACCAGTCTGGTCTCAGGGAATCCGTGAACAGTCATTTGGCTAACAGGAAACTCGGAAACCAGAGAAATATTAAACCTTCCAGTAGAAGATGTATCAGTATTTGCCGTGCTTTGTTTTAGTAGAAGTTTTACGGCGCTCGCAACTGCATAAGGTCATATGAGCACCACAAGATTAGAGGTGTTACAAGAGAGTAACAAACATAAAGAAGAAGAAGGGGAGATAAGGACGATAGACGTTTGATAGCAAAGAAGAAGCAAACCACACCAGAGCACCCGCCAACCACCCACATATTTGCCATGCCCTTATACAACTTACTTCCCAGCACCTAAAATAAAACTGATCCATCATTCCAGTCAAGAAGAACAGACCTTTAAGGAAAAGAAAATTGAGGGTGCTAAAACAAAACAAAACAAAACAAAAAAGATACAAGTCATTCTCACACAACAAGTCGAGCTGCAGCAGCAATAAATTAAAAATGACAAAAAGCATTTTCACAGAGATAAATAAACTTAAGATATGGATAAGACTTCGGTCAATGCGACGTACCCTGCGAGTACATCGTACACATTAAATACGGACACCAGACGTTACCAGTAACCTCAGCCATAATTCCAAAGCAAAGGTACAGTCGGTCAGTAGACTAAAAAAAAAAACTTTGCTTTTCTCGTAGGAAAAAAGAACGTATTGAAGGAATCGATTTGATCAACAACAGACACTGGTTTCAAACGTGGGGTTTTTCATGGAATCAGAAAGGATTGAACACAGCCTCAGACAGACATCTTGACACCTTGTTGAACAGGTAAGGAGGAACCTCGGTTCAACCGCTTGGTCCTGTAGAGAATAAATAGAGGAATAATGTCAAACGGGTGCTTCAACATTTTCACGGGAAGAACAGCATGAGAACATAAACAATTAGACAACAATGAGAGAGAGAGAGAGAGAGAGAGAGAGAGAGAGAGAGAGAGAGAGAGAGAGAGAGAGAGAGAGAGAGAGAGAGATAGAAACAGACAGACAGACAGACAGACAGACAGACAGACAGACAGACAGACAGACAGACAGACAGACAGACAGACAGACAGACAGACAGACAGACAGACAGACAGAGAAGACAAAGAGACCGAGAGTCAGAGAGAGAGTGTGTATGTGTGTCTGTGTGTGTACTTGCGTGTGTGTGTGTGTGTGCGTACGTGTGTGTTGACGAGAGCGTGCGTGTTTGTGTGTGAATGTAGTTACTATGCCGTAGGAAATTCCTCTTTGTGGAGATCGATAAAAACTTATCTTATCTTACCATACGCAAAAGCAGTAACAAAATTGACTAAAAATTCCCAGAATGAAATCTTACCACAGCAATGTGTCCCCACTCTCAGGAGGGTCATTAACAGTATCAAAGCATTTATAAATAATAATTAATATGTGTGTGTGCCTGGAGAAGTCTCCCAGCTGTCAGAAATTTTCTGTATCGAAATAAGGGCATATTCTTCAAGCAAATGTAATGCACAGCATGCTAATTTTAGAAATTTTCTGTATCGAAATAAGGGCATATTCTTCAAGCAAATGTAATGCACAGCATGCTAATTTTTACAATCTTTTCAAAGACCGTGAGTAGGTTTAAAGATATGCCACATTTTGTAACACAGGGTATAAAAAAACAAAAGTCTGAAGAAAAAACCAAATTACTAGCACATTTTTAACCTTTGGTGAAGTACAACGCATTGCAAAAATAGCTGATGAAAAAAACATTTAGACTTAAAACATGATCAAGTCCTTTCAATGTGTTATTTAGAAACAGTTCAACGTGTGTTTTCAGAAGGAACTAAATATATTTTTTTACCAGGAACAACTTTTTAGACCTTTTCAGCCCATTGCTCAAGGGGGCTCTCGTGGCCAAGAGGTTAAGGTGTTGGCCTCTCATTCAAAGGTCCCGGGTTCGATTCCGGGTAGCGACCAAAATATTTTCTTCTCTAAAATTGTCTCCTTTCACATCCTTTCCTGATCTCTAACAATGTTCTGTTGTCTGCTTTCATTTCCACTTTCTGCCCCCACGCCCTCACCTCCTTTGCCCCCTCCTCTGGGCTCCTGACTCTTTCTGCAGCCTTTCTACTGCTACTCCTTAGCTCCTCCTTACTGCTGTCTTTCTGCCACACCCCTGATCTTCTGGTAGGAAAGATCTACACCTAGCCTTCTCGGACAAGGGCGAAAAATCTCGGAGGGCCCGTGTGCAAGTTGCGCACGTTAAAGATCCCTTGTTGGTCTAAAATCGATAAGAGTAGGCTTCGGCCGCCACCCGGGCAAAATTCAAAATTTCCTACCAACGAAAAAGTATTAGGTGTGTCCTGCGCGCTCATATGACCTTATGCAGTTGCGAGCGCCGTAAAACCCTATACTAAACAAACAAAACCATTGCTCAAAAATTGCTTTGTCGAAAACTGGGACCTTTCTCCATGCACACACGCGTAATAATATCTTAAATGAAAGACGGGTAGGTATTTACATGCAGATTCAAACAGAGCTAACACATGACAAAAAATTAACAGGAAGAATCTTATAACGAGAGTTACACCATTCACTGTGAAATCTGCCTGGAGCATTGATGAAGAAAGACACACAATAATAAAATTGAATGACAACCTGAGGAGTAGGCGAGTTGGCAAGGAACATCGATGCTAAATATTCAATTCCTGAAGAAACCCCCCCCCCCCCCCCCCCCACTATACAAAAAAAGTGAAATGGGCACATATTGTACTTTATATATACTAGATCTACAATGACAGATGACTTTTTTGTTAAATGACACCTGCTGACAAATCTGCTGTAAGCTGACAAAACGCCTTTTTTCATTTTTGGCGCCAATTTTTTTTTATATTTGCTAAATCGAAAGCCTTATCAGTTACACTGCTTGAGTGAAAAAAATCAGAGTGAAAAAAATCAAAGTGAAAGTATGACAAGTTTTTGAATAAATTAGAATTAAAATTTCAGAAGAACGCCTTTTTAAAAATGCTAACGCTGAGAAAAAGCCTCTTTATCTCGAAACAGCTGTGAATGAAAAAAAAAAGTGTTTTGTCAGCTTATGGCAGAAATACAGAGATAGTCTAAGTGAAATAGAAACTAAATAGAACATCGAATCGTACGCAGTACTTGGAAAGCAATTATACGGTTAACGCAGCCAACAGCTGAGTAAACTAAAGTGCAAACATTCCAAGACACGCTTAATAAGAACAACTTAGTTATGTGGCCTCTTATCCAGACAGCAGAAAGCATTCCAGGGTTTACTATTCTTCAAAGCTTTTGTCACATGATGAAACAAAATGCTAGATAAGAAAAATACATTTTACTGCACCAAGTGCAAACGAAACTTTAAAATTATAAAGAATTACTGACTAATCATAATTTATCTACCGTTACACAACATCACAAAGGTAATGAAATTAGATGACGTTGAAAAAAACCCTAATAGCCAGCCTTCTCTTTTAAATAAAACTGGAAGCACCAATGGCAAACGGAAATTTCTTTACCACCATTATTCCTACAAAGGATAAATTTATCAAAACAACACCAAACAAGACTAGGGGTTGACTCGGCAGCAAAACACGGGGACAAAATCAAACAACAAAGGCTCAAAGTGTCAAAGAGACAGAACTGCAAATCTCAACATCGAAACGTTTTCTGTATTGCACTTTGAGAGGGAAAGGGATAAAATTAGACAAGTCTCGGGGCAGCACTGATTTGGTTGCAAACACTTGGAGGTGCGTCATACAAATCTGAAGCTTCAAAAACTAAGAAATGTACAGCATATTGGGAGGGAAGAGGGTCAGAGGAGGGGAAGAGCAATTGAAAAAGTTAATTTTCACGAAAACAAAATCTAATTGTTGAATTTATGTTCATTTACTATATGTTATGGCTGGTGTCTCTGAGAATAAAAAACCCACTTTAAACGTCATTTAGCTCTGCTAATGGACTATTTATAGACTAAATTCAGAGAAAGGTACCTCAAGTTTTGGTCTATCGTAATTCCTATGTCGAAAAATTATAAAGTGACGACATGAACAGATTAGCCAACCAACGGTGGAGATAAGGAAGAACAGGCTTTTGGCAAGTGTCTGGTTTCCTTTGACTATACCAAAGAGTCTACATAACAAGAGGGGCCACTTCTCTCTTTGAGCCAATTAAAAAAGTGTCCTCAAAATTCGGTGGCGCCCTCTTAGCAAATGCGCACCCTTTGCGAACAGAGTTACCCGACTTGAGTTTAAAAAACCAAAGGGAAACTACAAGTTTTTAAATAAATTTCAGAAGAACGCTTTTTAAAAATGTTTACGCTGACAAAAAACCTCTTCGGAGGAAAGGGTGATTGTTTTCTTCGTTTAATTTGACTTAAGAATGAAAGGTCATTGAAATAAAAAAAACACTAAAACTCAACACTGAACGAACCCGAACTGCAGATGAACAGCAGTCGATCTGCGCACGCAAGGAGGTGCTATTCCTATTCTTCTTCTGGAAAAATAAAAGAGAGCTTCAAAACAGACTGCAGTGCCATCTGAAGCAAAGAGCGAACTTCCGGCGGACACTTTTTTGGCTGAGTGGCCCATCTTGTTATGTACTATCTTTGACTATACTGAAGGAACTACAATTTGAGTGGCTAAAACAAGTACAACCTGATGATAACGAAATCTAACATCTAATTTTTTTAAAATTGCTGTCCTCTGTAAGTTCGACGAAATTTTGAGCACACCTAACTAAGCAAGTTCAATGACAGATAGACCTAAAATGGAGAAAAATGAGACAGATAATGGAAACATCATCATAAGATACTTTACTGTACACTTAGTTTTTTCGTAAGAGTTTTATTACGGCACTTACAACACAAGTAGGTCATGTAAGTGCCGAAGATTAGAGAAGTTACTAGAGAGTAACATACAAAGAAAAGGAGGAGAGATACGGACGATAGATGTTTGCTAAGAAAGAAGGAGCAAACCACACCCGATCACCCACCAACCACCCACTTTCCATAAAAAAAATAAACATTTTAAATGAAACGGTCCCTCTCCATACAGCTGGAAAATATGCAACTTTCACAACTTGCCTCACTGACTGTGTAAGTCAGAGAAAAACACAAATGACACTGATGAGAAGCTCGACAAAGCAAGAGAGTATCGGCAGAGAGAAATATCGCAGACATGCGCCAAAAAAAAAAAAAAGTGGGAGCTACTATACATATATACATATATATATATATATATACATATATATATATATATATACATATATATATATATATATCGCAGACATGCGCCAAAAAAAAAAAAAAGTGGGAGCTACTATATATATATACATATATATATATATATATATATATAAACTATTAGAACCTTGAATTGAATGTTTTCAAAGAGAGCAACTAAACAGTTCACTGCCAGTGACCAGTGACAGGGCTCGTTATTTACTTTATTATACTTAATACACTTACGGTAACTGTGGTAGACAATAATCTATGGTTGGATGATACACAGAGTGGGAAAAAAATGTGGTGTTGGGAGGGTAGAAGGACGTTTAAATATTGGAAAAATTCAACGAAAAGCCTTCAGTAAACATTTAATTTCAACTTTATAGCTTTGTCAAAAAATGGAAAAAGAGAAAGAAAAATAACACAAAGCAAAAAGCGTACAATTGAAAAGATAAAAACTGAAAAATCTACAAGCTCCACTACGACAGAGATCCCTTCATATAATATACCAAAGACAGCGCAAAAGAAGGAAATCCAAACAAAATACAAACTCATACAACATCTGGATGCAATCAACTCAAGAAACCTTCCAAGCTTTAAGTACTGTGAGCGAACAAAAAAACCCATACTCATTTGCTGAGCTTCCAGGGATTTCCAGGGAAAAAAAAACAATGTAGGTAATTGATTGATTATGGAGGAGTGTGAGTACAGCAGCGGATATCAATTCTGAGCCACCCAAAGTGGCGTATTAAGCACTACCAGAAGCATATTTTTAATCATGAGGTGCAACCCGGCTCGGAAAAAAAAATCTGAAATTTTCTGACTCTGCTGGAATGTGCGCATGTGGACTCAAAATTTTACAGATCATTCTGTCTGGAACATCAAGTGTCAAGACTCTTTTTTATATTCAGCACAAGTCAGGCCAAGTCCAAACCATTTCAGAAATCTGGATTTCCCAATTTATTCGCATAATTGGAACTTCTGTCCTTATAACAAACATTACTATGTTCTCACCAGCTTCAATTCAATTCAAATTTCAATTTCAATATTCCCATAGAATCTATCTTAGGTACCACAAGAGACTTCAATTAAAAAGTCTCCTGTAAATTGTCCTAAATATTTTTCTTCATGCTGTCTCTACTCAAAATTTCAGCTGACTTATTGATTGAACCCATTTCATCTCCTCTTGGACATACTGATCTACGCACAGCTTGCGAGGTAAAACGTGAGTGATTTGGAAACAAACTTTCAAATCTGCAATGATCTTCAGACTTCGTCTCTGAGACCCTTTCAACACTTTGTACCCAGGCTATTCTAACAAAGAATATCTATACACTTCGTATAACAAAAAAGTTTTTTTCCTAAACTGCACCAGCCACAGACAGATATGACAAAAAAACGGGGAGTGGATAATGAAGTGCATTTTTATAGCATCTACTCCTGGGTACACACAGCTTTTGGCTGACAATGCTATAGACTCTCCACTCATGTTAACACCAAAACACAAATTACACCCATCATTTTTTTTTCCTTTAAAAAAAAAAGGGGGGGGGGGGGGGGGGTAGAAGGGTCAAGCAACATCACAGGTAAAAAAACTAACCAATTTACTTTATGGCCACAATAAATATCTTCTCGTCGAAGAAAAAAAAGCATATATTTCCTCCACGGTAAATTGGTCGACATTATATACTGACAACTCAGCCAGAGAAAGCAGAACCTATTCTACAATCACAGACGTCAAACCATGCGCACGCACACTGTCCTGACACCAGCCACAGACAGAAATGAAAAAAACGGGAGTTACAGCTACTGACTTGGAGTGAGAGCAAAGATTACAAATCAAGGGCATAGTGCTCATGCATCAATACAGTCATGACACCTTTTGCTCCTAGTCCCAGAACTAATAAATGGCTCAGACCTGTAAGTTCAAGGAAAGTGTATGCATATGTGATGGCAAAATGCAACAAGGGAAGAAGAGGGGATGGGGGAAGAGACAAATCTACCTCTTGTGTAATGTCACCTGAGATAATGCGGAGGGAAAAAAAAAGAGATACATAAATATAGACGTGAATATATTTAAAGAGAACGGATTTTCGAAGAAAACACCCAAAGGTGAAGGAAAAATGTAACACACTACACAAAAAAAAAGACTGTTTTATAAAAAAAATTAGGCTAATTCATAACAGAACAATGAATAAGACAAAGTTAACTCTCTGATCTTGCTCTCTTAAGGGTCTTGATGTAAGCTATCCTATACAGGGGTGCTTTGGTAGAATTCACAGAATGTCTTTACAAATCTTGAAAGATATCAGCAAAATGCTCAAAAACTGTCAAAATTTGAAAACACTGCTTGATATACTTTAAAAAAAATTAAACTTTCAAGTCTGAAAAAAAATTACCCTGACAACACCTTAAAAGCAAAAGCTCAAAACTATCGTTACCTGCTCCAGTGACTTCCTCGCATAAGAAAACCTACTGTTGTAGTTTTGACTTACCTCGGCGAGTTTAAAGGACTGGTTCCTGTCTTTGCTCTGGAGTCATCTTTGACGAAATTTCTGCAGGTTGCAAGTTTGGATTCCAATGCCTGGTCAAGAGCAAAAAAAAAAAAAAAAAAAAGTTCAGTTATTACGCTCTCCTCTTCCAGGTTACATTTATTTATTATACAATAAAACATCTGTTCTTTTCACTATGTAAAACCCATGAAGTATCAGGTTCTATCTACGAAACGGTCTTTATTAAATCAAACAGCTTTGGAAGAAAAAATATATTTGAGAAAACTGCCCGAAAGAGGAGAAACAAGGCAGACTTCCCTTGTTTTAACCACAATCTGCTGTATTTTCCCCTCACAGTAAGTTTCATCCATATTTTAGAGACAATAGGAAGATATGCATGACAGTACCATAACTTTCTAATGCATTATTTTTCTCAATAGACCATTTTTTTTTTTTACTCACATGAAATAAGGATTCCCAAAGTTTAAACAGTTCACAAACCAAGCAATAATGATTAAATTATTTGTATTTGATCTTACTCAGTTTCAAGATATCAACACACTTCTGTTTAATTTTTTTTTTCAAAATATACTTTGGGAAATTATGTCCCATAAACTGATGCCATTGAAGATTTAAGAATCTAAAGAGAGAAAAACTCCAGTCCCATGCTCAACTACATCAAGAAAAATTATTACAAGTGGGGAAAAATTATTACGGAAACCAAAAACGAAATTACAGACTCTAAAAAAGTTAGAAGAACAAGTCAGATGATCAAATCCATTACACATAAAAGACATCCGATCAAATTGTTTCTCATTATTTTATTTTGGATACACAATAGTTCAGATAGATACATCTGCAGTAGTTCAGATAGAATAGATACACCTGCAGTGGTTTAGACGGATACATTTGCAATAGTTCAGATAGATACATCTGCAGCAGTTCAGATAGATACATCTGCAGTAGTTCAGATAGACACATCTGCAGTAGTTCAGACAGATACATCTGCAGTAGTTCATATAGACACATCTGCAGTAGTTCAGATAGACACATCTGCAGTAGTTCAGATAGATACATCTGCAGCAGTTCATATAGACACATCTGCAGTAGTTCAGATAGATACATCTGCAATATAGTTCAGATAGATACATCTGCAATATAGTTCAGACAGAATAGATACATCTGCAGTAGTTCAGATAGACACATCTGCAGTAGTTCAGATAGATACATCTGCAGTAGTTCATATAGACACATCTGCAGTAGTTCAGATAGATACATCTGCAATATAGTTCAGATAGATACATCTGCAATATAGTTCAGACAGAATAGATACATCTGCAGTAGTTCAGATAGATACATCTGCAGTAGTTCAGATAGACACATCTGCAGTAGTTCAGATAGACACATCTGCAGTAGTTCAGATAGATACATCTGCAGTAGTTCATATAGACACATCTGCAGTAGTTCAGATAGATACATCTGCAATATAGTTCAGACAGAATAGATACATCTGCAGTAGTTCAGATAGACACATCTGCAGTAGTTCAGATAGATACATCTGCAGTATAGTTCAGACAGAATAGATACATCTGCAGCAGTTCAGATAGATACATCTGCAGCAGTTCAGATAGATACATCTGCAGCAGTTCAGATAGATACATCTGCAGTAGTTCAGATAGATACATCTACCTCCACAGGGGAATGAAGCCAGGGTACACTGACAATAAAGTCATGGAGTGAATGCTGTATCATCAGATAGTTAAGGCCAACAGTAATGGGTGGTAGAGCAGCCCTTTGACGTTTTGCATGTTTCTTTCTCAAGAGTAACACAGAACTTTTGTGAGACAGCATCAATCAAGGCAGCCATTCCTTCCTCTAACCCAAAAGCTTTTGCCTCATTTTTTTGCTTATTTTTTTTTTTAAAGAAACAATGTTACTGTTAGGTAACTACAAATTAGCTAGCTTGATGAACACCCCTCATTAGAAATATATCGACTTAGACAGATGCAGTGAATCACTAGAAGCTCATGCAATCTTGAGAGCAGCATCAAATTCATCTTGGGCAGCTTTAAGTACGATATACTTGAAAATCCAGAAGAATTAAAAACCTAACCGAAAAAAAAATAGATTAATAAAAACTATCCAAAAATTTTCCTTGTATAAAGAGCATACTTCTTTTCAGAAAATCAATGAGCATTATAGACGAGAGAGGGGCAAATCAGCTCATTTGTCTTCTGTCTGGCTGTATTAAAATAAACATAATCAACTCTGGCCACCTACAATTTATTCCCGACCAGAGTGCCACAGATGTGTTTTTGGCCGGATACCCTAGCACAACAGTTTCCCCACACAGAACAGCAGGCGCTATCCCGTACCCACTGGCAACTGCAACATTTTAACAATGCTGAGAAAAAAAATGGATTGTCGCAACCCCCATAAAAAAGTCGGGATCAAATATTTTTTTTTTAAATTGTTTTTGTTTTTGTTCTCATTATCATGTTTCTATAGTATGTTTTCCCTGGACTAACTTGTAATTTTCTGCCCTCTAACATACTTCATGCACGCACGTGCAAATTTCACTACATATAGCATTGCACTACACCCCAGGCAGGTACGCTTCATGCTCCACTTAACACTGCAGGAACAAAAAATACAAAACAAAAAACCCAAGAAAGTCATACTTTTGAGACACGAAATCATCATCCCCTTTTTTTAAAATACCATACTCTGATTGCAGGCATGCAATTGAAGATTTTTCCTTCCTATAAAGAAAGAAAAATAACCCAAAAAAACCCCAAAAAGCAACCCCATGCCATGCTTAGTCATCAGTCGAGTGAATTTACAGTTCGCTTCTTTTAAGAAAAAAAAATTCATCAACATTAATAACGATCCACATGACAAAAATGCAGGTATATACAGATCATACCTGAAGTCGGCCCAGTTCACCAAATATGGTCAAATATGAGATTTATTAACCACTTTTCAACCATCAGGAAGTAATTTAATTAAATGAAATTATGAACTCCCCACAATGACACTAAATGAAAAGATATTTCAAACAAAATCTTAATTTAAACTCCCAGTCCTCAGGTATCAAATTCCGGCACTAATCGAACTGTTCAGTATGTTTGCAGACTAATTAAAAACTTGTACATGAGGATAATCCTGGCTGTCACTCTGCCAGCCATGGGAAATAATATGGTGCGTTGAGGGGACACTACGGGATGATGAGTACAAGGACTAAATGAGGATGTAATAAATTTATTGTTCAATCTTCAAAAGTAAACAGTAGCAAAATGGTCTTTCACGTTAAACAAAAGAGAGAAAAAAGAATATGGTTTTTTTTTCAATTCAGCATGATATTTAAGCCTCTACCATGCAAAGATAAGTTTTCTGCAAAATAAGAAATAAATACGAAGCATAAGTGCACTTTCATCTTAACTTGTGCCATTGTGACTGAAATGAATACATAGTTCTGGCCTGTGCCTATCCACTCAAAACAAAGTAATGACCACAGCACAGCATGCACAGGCAGTAAGGAGCAGCAAGAACCTTTTCACTATGTTGGAGGGCAGGATTACAAGACTATACACATAGCTGCCAGATGGCATTATACCGAGCTCTCCGGCCCGCTTTCGGAATGTCCAGAATCGGATTTTAGCCCTGAGGAGTTTCTTTGGGATCTATCAGATCTCCCTGTGAACTGAATTTAGCAATTTTTATTTTAATATAATATAACTTTTCCGATGCATAAACCTATGAAAACAACATGAAAGCGTATCTGAAAATGTTCTATAAATTAAAAATCAGATTGGACAATAAATACGAGACCATTTTGAAAAAGAGTGGCATTACATACTGTTTCATTCCTTGCCCGTGACAATATTTCCTTATGACAACATTACTTTCAATTTTGACAAATAAATACGTTGGAAAAGCAACAGCAGAGGAAAGGTAAACAGTCAAGAGCACATTATAAGAAACCAAATCTCCGTGATCTGATATTTTGAAAGCAAGGACATATTCACCTACTCAACCCACTCCCATACCACACACATTTCCATATCAGCCATAATTGATTGTAAACGTTAAACAACCCCCCCTCCCCCCTCCACACAACTTAAATCACTTAACACTTTGCCACCACAAGGCTCATACAGTAAAAACTCTTGCCATCAAAGGCAAAGGCATTTTGGGGAAAATCCCAAGAAACTGGGTGGTAAACATCTAGAGGTAGACTGCTTCTACCCTTCCTGACAAGCCTAACCTGTGCCAAGGAGAAAGGATACAGCATCCCTAGAGAAACATGGATGTAATTTTTAAAAAAATTTTTTTTTTTAAACCATCTTTAAGTGTAAATCCAGCTCACCCAGTCTTCTTTGGGCAACAGAAAAGAGCCTTATCATTACACCACAGACGCCGGCCTGGACAGGTACGTCCAGCAAGCGGCTCATTCGTGACCGTTAACGGTTGAGGGATCTTAATCTCAAAATCAATGCATTTACTTCCACAAACACACACATTAAAATCAATATCTAAACATCACTACCTCAGAATTACAAATGTCAATCTGACATTTTTGGCCATTTTGAGTTGCTAAGACCATGAGGTTAGAGACCAAAAGTTCTATCTGCTACGTCAAAATCGTCAGATTATTTGGAGTCGTTGTCAAGATATTTAAAGAATTGCATTCCAAAAAGCTTGACATGTGGTGAAGCTCAAAATCTTTTACGTCAAATTTCTCAAAACTAAGCACTATGTAGATAGAACTCTGTAATTCTAAGGAGGCGAAATAACAACTATACTTGTAACAGAAAATACCAGTGCTGATAAAATATTGCAATGTGTAAAAGGAAGACGAAGAAAAACAATCAAAGGTACATGATCATAACAGATTACATTTCATGCTTTTCGAATTACAAAAACTTTTCTAAAAATTATTTCCAAGACAGAAACAAAAATCACAGGCCAAAAACAAAAGCATACATCGAAACAGATTGTTTTAAAACAAAATAATGACAATTATTAAAGACGGAGTACTCCTACAAATCTAGCTAATCTCAACCATGACATAAAGGAAAATGAGCTCAAACACATACCCCAACTTTTCTCAACAAGTCCCCCACTATGTTGAGTGCCGATATTCTTGCTGAAGGAGTCAAGGGGGTACCACCAGTAGAGTTGTTCGTGATTCCAGAGGGCGGAACTGGGTGAGAAAGAACACAAAAGCCGCAGAATATTTTATTCAAAGTCGTAAAAATGTTTCTGGATTTACAGGTCTTGTTATGTCCCCCGAGAATCAGCATGCGCTGTGTGTGTGTGTGTGTGTGTGTGTGCGTGCATTTGTTTGTGAGTGTGTTTTAAGTTTTAGTATGAGTTTTATGGCACTTGCAACACAATAAGGTCATAAAAGAGCCGAATATTAGAGGTGTTACAAGAGAGAAACATTCACAAAAAAGAAGGACGAGAGATTAGGACGATAGACGTTTGATAGAAAAGAAGGAGCAAAACCACACCAGAGCACCCGCCAACCACCCACTGTTTGTGTGTGTGTGTGTGTGTGTTTGTTTGTTTGCTCTGGTGTGTTGTATAGGTGAATGTGCATGTGTATGTGGGTGTATGCAAGGGTACATGTGTATGTATGTGTGTTCTGAACTTAAAAAGATCATGAAAGCAGCGTGAACCATGTTCACACAAATGTTCTACCACCTTCAGTACTACTTGTCTTATGTATTTCAACATAATTCATTTCTAGATTAGCTTAAATAGCTCGACTTCTACTGGCCATTGCAAAGGTATCTCAAGCGGGCCAATAAAGAACCTTACCTTTTCTCACCTTATCTAACCTTATGTTACAGGCATACTCAAAACTTTTTAAAGAAGTCAATCTACTGTAATAAATCCCTCACAAGGTGACAAAACGCAGAGCTCTTCATACTCCTCAAGAAAATCAAAGCAGAACTTTCTCCAAGACGGACAAAGCAATACACTTGTCAAGACAGGCAAAGTGAAAATCTCTTCTCTTCAAGACAAGCAGAGCAGAAGGTTCCTCAAGAAAAAGTAAAAAAACCCAAACAAGCGGAACTCCTATTAAGACACAGCAGAACTCTTTTCAAAAAAGAAAAAGTGGAACTCTTTACTACAGACAAAGCAGAGCTTTCTTCAGTTCAGTCAAATGGGAACTCTCTTGAAGTCATCATCTGCAGAAAATCTCTTACACGCCAACCGACAATGCAGAACTTTCTTCAAAACAGACACCTCAGAACTCTCTTCATAACAAAGTGGCGGAACTCTTTTCAAGACAGACAAAAACGCAGGAATTCTCTTCACAATGGACAAAGCAAAAGGAACTCTCTTCAAGACAGACAGTATTAGTTTTAGTAGAGCTTTTATGGCGCTCACAACTGCATAAGGTCATATGAGCGCCAATGGGTGGATGTTAACAGAGAAGTCCTTACAGGGAATCGGACTTACTCTGCTCACTTCTCTACCTTCAACAGCACAAAGTCTGCTTCGACTATCAAGCAGCCTGGAAATAGCGGATCACAAGAGTGTGACAAACATACAAAAAGAGTAGAGGAAAATGACGATAGTAAGGATTAGGAAAGAAAAAGCAACAGTTCCCTGTTACAGTTCAGGCACAATTATGAGCATGACATCGATGAATCAGCCCATTTACAATTCTAGTGTGAATAAGAAAGGGTCAATGTCCCCCCTTTGGGAATGGCCTAAAGACACTTCAGTCAGAAGCACCACCACGGGGGGTGTCAAGACAGACAGAGCAGCAGGAAATCTCTTCATAAGAAAGTGGCAGGAACTCTTTTCATAAGAAAGTGGCAGGAACTCTTTTCCTAAGAAAGTGGCAGGAACTCTTTACATAAGAAAGCGGCAGGGACTCTTTTCAAAACATATAAAGAGGCAGGAATTCTATTCACGACGGGTAAAGCAGCTGGAACTCTAGACAAAGCAGCAAAAACTCTCTCCGAGATGGACAAAAGCGGAACTCACTTCTACCCATCGGAGTGGTGGGAGTTGTGGGCGTCGTCCCCTGAGCGGCGTAACCACTGTCCTGCATTGGCTGACCAGCCGACACCCCTGGGAGGCTCTCTGAGCTCGTCTTCATGACCACATCTTGATGTTTCTTTACATCAATTTCTGACTTGAGATCTACGGAGCAGAAAACAAAATATCATCCATTGTTGGGGGGGCGGGGGTGGTGTTTGTAACATCATTATCAGGCTTGAAATCTAAGAAGCAAAATGAAAGTATTACCAAGGGGTTGATAGTGGTGGCACACATTAATGTTAGACATGAGATCTACCCAGAAACGAATATCTTACCTGTGTTTTTACACTTCAATGTCAAACAAAAGATTGATCACACATAAAACTAGATGTGGTCCATAATTCTTCACCAACCATGGCAAATACATGCACATATAATGCAAATAAGAACATGTATTTCACGTCATTTACAAAAAGTTCCAAAAATACAGCAAATAACACCAGGGATGCCAAATGATTTTTGAAAAAAACAACCTGAAAATGAGCGGAGCATCACATCTCACCTGAACCGAACCTTGTAAAGCTTTTAAATGAGCAAACAAAAACACATTCTCTCTTACCTCTCCCCTTTCCTTTGCAATTCCAACGGATGAAAAAAACCCCCCCAAAAAAACGGACATTTGGCATCCCTGTAACACTAATAAAAAGTATATCGTCACTACGATAAGTTACATACAACCTGACGGAAACGGAATCGAAGAAAAAAACGTAATTTATACTAATTGAATCCGATTACTTTGACAGGTCAAAAAATATTTTAAAATCTGATAGCTGTGATTTTACCAAAGTACTTGGCAGCTCTTCTGATGGCAGTTTCAGGCGTGGTACTCGAAAAAAAAATAAAAACAAGGATGAAAATCAGCCCATCCTACAAGCATCTGTCAATTCATAAAATCACATGAAGCAAAGTAACCAAAAAAACCCCCCATCAGTTTTTACCTCTAGCTTCGTCTTTCAGCCTCTGCACAGTGTCCACCAGGGTACCTTTCTCATCCAGTTCACTCTCAAGGAATGCATTTCTCTCTATGGCCTGAAGATGGAAATACGGATAATTTTGAAAATCTTTTTTAGTTTTAGTAAGTTCTACAGCACTTGCAACTTGCAAAACGATCAAGTCATTTAAGTGCCAAAGATTAGAGGTGTTACTAGAGTGTAACATACACAACAAAGGAAAGAGGAGAGATAAGGATGATAAAAGCCTGATAACAAAGGAGGAAAAGATATCAGAGCACTAACCACCCACTTTGAAATTCAAAAGAAACCCCAAAAAATCATAAATACAGTATATTAAACAGCACCCATCCTTCCCTTTCCATCAAGTACGACATTTCCAAAACAGGAGGAGGTGTGCACATACAAGGTAACACCATAAAGCTTAAGGTAGAGCCATTGAACTTTTTATTATATGTGGCAGAGTCAAGACGGGTAAAAAAAAACTAAATAAATTCATGAATACAGTTTAAAAATGTAACAAGTGGAATGTTCATCGCCATCCTTACCTCGTTCAGTCTATGTTCAAAGTCCTCTAGTGAGACCACAGTGGCTCTGAAAAAAATCCAGAACAAAAGTGATTAGCGAAAAGTCTGACAATACAAACCCATCTAGTTTTTACAGTTTTCTCCAAAACTGTAAAAACAGCAAATTCACTAGGACATTAAAGTCAAATTTACACCCCTCCATTCTAAGATACCCTAACAGAATCATCTCTAAAAATGATGATGTAAAAGAAATAAGAGCATAAATTGAGTGATTATGTGCCTTGATGCCTGCAACTCCAGCTAAGATCACAAACTTACATTTGAGAATTTTCAGTCATATTTTTCCCATTCAACTTTCTAAGCCTAGAGGAGTGTAGTTTCTTACTCTTCCATGACATTTGTTTAACTTAGTGACTTAGAAAATCTGCTTTAGCTAATCCAGTTACTACAGCTGATTCCTTATTTCGGAATGCTTCCAACAAAACTATAAGACATACAGCATGTAGTGCATACTTTATCATACAAAAATCTGACCATCAGAAATGAAAAAAAGAGAAGTAAAAACTTTATTAATAGAAGATAATGATTACAATATCATCTATGAATCTATTTACATGTTTTACCTGCTGGCTTGACAATAAAAAAATTCTGATGTCCTTTTTAACATTTTTACAACAGTAAGATACGGCAACTAGACATGGACAACCTCAAATTCTTTTTTCCAACCTGGGCACAGGGTAGCAAAGCTGACTGGCCTTTTACAAGAATAAGCATGCAAAAAAAAACTTCATGCCAAGATAAATACTCGCAAAAGAGCTTCTTATTGAGCTTTATAAAAAAAAAGACTGTGTCTTACCGCTTGGCTCTCTCCAAGTCATCGTTTGCTTGTTCCAATTCACGAACATACTTAGCCAGCTCGTTTTTGTATGCCTCAACTTTGGCGAGGTTGTCCTCCAGTTCTGTCACTCTCTTATGACTGTCACCCTGTAGTTTTTGTAACTTGTCCTGGACAAAAGAGAATATTCACATTACAAGTTACCTCTCTAAATGAAATCTAATTCAAGCAAAACATTAGTTTATGAGAACCTTTTGAGCCCCTTTCAGAACTAAACTATGCTTTTCAAATTTGTTCTTGTTGCATCTTAAGATTCTAACATAAACTAGTCAACAAAAATTAAGGAACATTTGAGAAAAAGTGTATAACTTCGAAAGCAAACTTCAACACGCAATGAAATTTGGTACACATTTTAATCAACATGTGTATAGCAATTCCCAAAAAGAAAAATTAAGTTATTCCATTTTAACTTGCTTGAAAAAAGTCAGAAGTTAAAATAACTTCGAAACCGCTTGACAATTTTTGGGATTTGTGATTTTAACCCCTACCAAACTCAATTAACTTTTCAAGCAAGTTAATTGAGTTTGGTAGGGGTTAAAATCACAAATCCCAAAAATTGTCAAGCGGTTTCGAAGTTATTTTAACTTCTGACTGCAACAAAAACAAAACAGTTCAGATGATTTCAATAATGAGTATGCCCACTGCAATTGTCCTGGCACTCAATACACCGGCTCCTCATCGAGTTCATGAGGTTGGTGAATACTCTCTGAGGCATCCCCTGCCACTCTGCCTACAGCATCTGAAACAGTTGCTGCGTGTCTCCTGGAGGGGTGTGGTTGTCTCTGACTCGACGTTGCAGCTCATCCCAGAGGTTTTCTATGGGATTCAAGTCCGGACTGCAGGCTGGCCAGTCCATTCGGTTGATGCCAGCCTGCTGCATGAAGTTTTGGACAAGCAACGCTCTATGAGATCGGGCGTTGTCATCCTGGTACACTGCATGTGGCCCCATCTGCTGCAGAGTAGGTAGTGCTAATGGACGGAGTATCTTATTTCGGTAACGTATTGCAGTGAGATTCCCTTGCACTTGGTACAGAGGTGTTCTGTGGTTCAGACTGAAAGCACCCCATACCATCACGGAACCACCTCCAAAAGTCATCACTTCTCTGACGGCTTCATCGAGGAGCCGCTCTCCGTGTCGCCTCCAAACCCTGATACGACCGTCATTGTGATGCAAAGAGAACCGGAACTCGTCGCTGAAGAGAACGTTTGCCCACTGTTGACGTGTCCATCTTACTTGGCGTCGCCAAAAGGCAAGACGAGCAGCCCTGTGTGCTGGGGTGAGACGCTGGCGGACTGCTGGTCGACGTGCATTAAGTCCAAACTCATGAAGACGTCTTCGTACTGTCTGACAACTAATATTAACACGAGTTGCCGCTCTCAGCCGTGTCCGGATGCGATTTTCTGGAGCGGATCTCGACTGCGGAGCCTGTTTATGAATAAATCGGTCTTCCCTTGCATTAGTGGCTCTTGGTCGACCTGATCTGGGTCGCTCTTGGGCACTACCAGTGGCGTTGGCACGCTGAATCAGCCGTGAAATGACAGAAACGGACACTCGAAGACATGTAGCAACTTGTCGGAGTGAAACACCATCTTGTACCTAAGCAATGGCTCGTCCTCTGTTTACATCAGACAATTTCTGTCGAGGAGGCATGTTTATGCTTAGCCCCACAGCAGCAGAATGGTGTATCCACAGTGCAAATGAGCGAGTGCAAGTCACTCACGAGACATGAATCTTGCAATTGAAAACTGATTTTTGAGCGTTCATAATTTTTTCTGATGGTAAGAGCTAGATAATAAAAATCGATAATTGGAAAACATTGGACCTTTTTGCCCCCTCCCCAGTTCATCGCACAAGGAGTCATGCGCACTTCAAACCTTGGTGTGTACAATCCCATTAGTCATAGAGTAACATTTCACCAATATCTAGTTTTTCGAGTAAAAGTAAAACCTCGAAAGAATACATACAAATATATCACTCTTTTTGCAGTACGTTCCTTAACTTTTGTTGACTAGTTTATATCTTCTTAAAGGAATTATATTTTACATCTCCATCCCGGGAGCCTAAAAGTTTGCTCAGGTAAAACATTGAATAATTCTGAAAAATATCAATTTTTTTTAACTAGAACTGGTTATTTCAAGCAATGTTAAAAAATGCAAAAATGCCAGAAACTCAGTCTTCATTTTAAGAGTACATCGGTTTATAAAAGCAAGTAGGCTAGACAAGAAACCCTTACCCATTTTCCTTTACTGTTCATACATTTGAGAAAAGATTGACCCAATAAAAGTAATCTATAGCAGGGGCACGGCAAGAAAAGAAAGACAGAAACACCAGAGGGAAAAAAATAAATAGGAGTCCGAGTAATAGTACCTTCCAGTGGTGCCCTTCAACTCCCAACCAATCGCTCTTTTTTCCTTGAGTCAAAGATACCGTTTGCTTGAGACTTTGTTGTGTTAGCATCAAACGGTATACAGGTGCATTCTCAGAAGCACTCATTAATCCCAAAAGCACAGTAAACAATACATACCAAGACCTTTCTAGAAAGATCAAACACTATGGAAAACATCACATGTATTAAAAAAATTGTTTAAGTAATTCCAAAAACTTTTAATATCTATATTCTTAAACTCACTCTGTCATTTCTTTTTAAATAAATAGAGGTGTTTGAGTTTAAGTATGTGAGGGAAAACAGCTAGTGTAACAAAATAAAACGTTGATGACAAAATTGGTTCAGCCGTCAGTCATGATGTTTTCAACTTTTTTCCTCAACAGAAACAAAATGAGTGCAAAATCTTACCCTGAGTGAATCACATTCATTTTGAAGTCTGTCATTAGCTAGGTTTAGCTCCTTATTTTTCTTTTCTTCCTGCTTGAGCTGAGTCTCCAACTCCTGCTCAAGCTCTCGGCTGCTGATCTGATAATCTTCAAGCTCCTCTTTTGTTTCCTCTAGTCTGTGGGAGACACAAAAAAGGTGGTGTCATTTGACTCGCAAGTCAGAACAGTTAACATGAATTCCAACCCATGTTTACAGTCTACAATTATAATAGCTTTCATTTCCTTTCCTTCTCCACTAACTTGCAACAGTAAAGGGATATTTGTTCTAATTTCTACAAATGAAAGGTGAATTGAATACAATATTGTTGCAGTGCAAACAAAATTCTGGGTCATGCAATCTTTTTCTGAATATTTTAAGTTTGAAAGCACAGCACTTACAAGAAAAAAAACCCCACTAGTATGATTACATTTAGAAAAAAAAATACTACAAATGCAAACTTAATCTCATTATCCTGGACCTATAAGAACATTGTAATCACTGCTACCAAAAACATGCAATAAAACTTGCCCCTAAATCGCCATGTGGTAAAATCAAGGCTGGCCCTCCAGTGTGTTTACAGTGACAAAAAACCCCACGGTGATGGAGAATGATTTTCTAAATTTAAAACATCCAAAACACACTCATGCTACAAAAGTATCACATTTATCATTTAATTGATTAAACTTCAAGTTTTCATGCTTCCATTCAACGTGAGACTAATTTCTGCTCACTTTACACCTACAGTCATCATTCAATGGTCAACCTTAGAGATCTGGACTTACTCTTGTTTGTACTGTTGTGCTAGATTCCTCCAGTGATCTGCCTCTTGATCTTTAGAGGCAAACTTTCTCCCGGCATCCATGGCTACGATTTCCAGCCTCCTCTATGCAGTATTTGCTTTAACTGTCCAATTACACAATCATTTGAAAAATGTCTTTCGTAAATTTGAAAAGGAATTCAGATAAAAATTCACTTGCATGATAAAATAATACCACAGTTTGGAAATCTATTCACTAAGAGAAGTCACATTTTAAGAATACATCCTCTACAAATCTTAATAAAAAAGCAAAATTCTCTCATGAATCCACATGGAAGTTAACAAGTGAAGAACACAGCTACGAAATTTGCCCACTGGTCTGGAGTATGACCTGAAATGAAGAAAAAAAAAATTCATAGTTTTGCATTGTGGCTTTATTTGTCAAATCTAAATACCCTTCCCGTTCACCCCACCCAAAGTATTTTCATACAGTGAACAACACGGATTTATCATTGTCCATCACGTGCCTACATGTTTTCCTTGAAAGAAGATAGATACCACCAGCAACAAGCAGTAAAAATAGTCATGACAGAGACAGAGAAAAATCTATTGTAAAACATTTAATTCAAGAGATCAGAATCATGATTGATTGATTTCATAAAATACAATAAATATCAGGTAAAAGTGTACCATCTTAACTAAGAAAACAGTCAGACAGGTATTTTCACAAACATTTTTTTTTCTTCCGTTCAAAACACATGTGAAATGAAATCGTTATTTCTTTTTTTTCTCTTCATCCCTTACAGCAACATGGGCGTAAGAAAAAAACACAATAACAAAGGTAGACATATACGCAGAAAGCCACCCTTGTCCACGGTGGCAACTCAAACTACGGAAGTCCTCCCTTTTAGGTAAACGAAGTGCACTCCACTCAGAAATTAACTTTTGTTTATCTTTATTTTTTAAGCCCATCAAATCTGCTTTCGTAATTTTGTGAAGGGACCTTGACAATTTAACCCTTCAAGGTAAAAAATAATTGCATTTTTGTGACTCCCAATAACAGCAACTGGTTAAATTATGGGCAGTCGACTCCCAAACCAGTTGAAATAGGAGGAGTCGACTCCCAATATGCCTTCCTTCTATACTACCCTGCTATCCCAGTCCCAATTCTACACCCCTTCCCCAATTCTAACCCTAAACCATACAGTAGAAAAATATTCCAGTACTGTCTAGGCCAAAACTAGAGACTGCTATGCTAATAAGGGCAGCAATGACAATATCAATTCAACAAGTCAACAAAACATATCAGCATGACTGTTGCTTAAAAGGGCCTGGGCCTTGGCGAGGTCCATTTCAATTTCTAATGGCCGGCTCTATTTCTCCGAACGCTCCGGAAAATAAACTTGAACTCTATTTCTCTTTCTCCGAATGCTCTGTAAAAATAAAGCCTGGGGGAAAGATGGTTCGTAATCGAGGCATACGTCTCATTCAAAACACGCCAAGTTGGTAACTCTAGATGTTCGACATTGTTCGTCCAATGAAATTATAGAAGAAATTGATCCACTTAAACATGAGGAGCTCGAAAGGATAGTCAGGAAACAAAAAAAAACAAGACTACATTTTTCTAAACAAAATCTTTCAAATGAGCTTGATTTTGTATGAAATGATACTACCTGATAAAAAAAACAAGCTTGTTTGATAGTTTTGAATACCATTGTGCAGGTACAAAGAAAAATTTGAGTGTAAAACATTCAAAAATTGACCTATATTATAAATCCCCTTTCGAACCTCAGGTCATTCATAACAACAAGAGCGTCCAGAAAGGTTATTCGAAAGGGCGTAACTACACATAATGTCTTATCAGCTTGTGAGAGGGGGTTATTCATGTGTTTCTAACACTTCATAAATAGAAATCAATGAAAGATAGAGCGTTATTTTCATAATTGATTAACACACTCCCACGGTAATTATGGCGAAAACACACGTTTCCTGGCGCGCGCGCTGTACACCAACAGTACACACTGAGTGACCCCGGCGGCCTGCCTGGAACGTCCGACATAATCGGTTGCTGATATGATTCGCATCTCAGCACAGACGCAGGACAAGAGTTAAGTTAGGCCTAGAAAACATATACAAGCTATCTACGTTCGCTAGGCCTAAAGAAGTCTAATGTTCAGTGCTTCCAGGCGCGGCATCGAATCCCAGTCCAGGAAAGTTGTTTTTTTCTTCTCCTGAGCCTAAAATTTAAACAAAATGATAATAAAAAATAATAATTAGACTCACAGACCAAGGAAAGACAGTATTGAATTTTAACCTGGCCTAAATTGGTAAAAGGAAAAGTATAGATAGGCTATACTAAGGCTTACTTTGTACAGAGCCAGCAGACCAAGGAAAGACACTATTGAACTTTAACCAGGCCTAAATTGGTAAAAGGAAAAGTATAGGCTATCTATACTAAGGCTTGCTTGTACAGAGCTCCTCTTGGGGACATAACCAGAATGTGCATGCTTCACCACTAGATCTACATTTTAAAAAACTACAAGGCAACAAGTTATAATAATGGGAAAAATTTGTTGGTCAGTCGAAAAGAGGACCCAAAAAAATTTTTTTTTAAATAAATAAATTTCAGGACCGGGATCAAACCCACACTCATAAAATAATGATTTGTCTTCAAACGCAGACGTTCAAACACAGACGCGCTGTTACTTCGGCCATCAGAACTTCCAACAATGAAAGGTAGATTAACTCACTTGCGACTGGGCCCTTTCACCAGTCACAAGCGTTGAAGACTGGCGTTTTGGGGGGTATTTCAATAAATCACCACATCTCTCAGAATTACCCTATTGTAATAATTTTTTGACACAGTAAAGTAACATTCAAGCTTAATCTAATACAAAAAACTAAAGTTGTCTAAGTCTAATACTTTAATTTGTATGATTTTTTAAAAATTGGCATGAATTTGATTTTCGAAAAATTTCCAGAGACGTGACAAGTAGAATGAAATTCACTGCAACAACAAAAATAAAAGTTCAAAGTGTTCTGGTTTGATTTGTATACATGTGCAAGTGTTTGGTGGAAATATAAAAGCTGGTCTGTGAATTGATTCAGACCCATACACTGAATTACATGAGACAGATGTACGGCACGACGTTGTGATTTCGTTGCGCGAAAAACAACACCGGTACTAGTGCTAGATCTAGCCCTAGAACTACGACTCGGGCCGTGTTCGGGTACATATCCAGGATTCTAACTATTAGACACATCATATTCTGAGACACTAGAACTAGTAAAACGCACAGAAGTATAGAAAACGGCGAAATTATGTGATTCTTGTTCATGCGACTTCTTCGACCGTCACTCAACGCGACTGTCGGATTACTATGAGCTGTATAGAAAAAAACAAAGCGCGAGTTCCGGTCTGTTCAACCCCAGTTGGGGTCACTGTCCTTCACCTTCAATAACTTAAAAACTACCGGCCCCAGAGATACGAAACGAAGTCTAAGTAGCTCAGGCTTGGCCAAACAAGGGTACGAGGCGGGTCTCGCGATCCGTGCGTGATTTGTAGAGCGAAAAAAAAATTCCAAAGTTGGTCACGCAGGGCTTGTGAGACCCGTCGCGAGCGTCATGGCGGGGGTCACGCAACTGTTGTGTGACCCGTCTGAAGTGAGTTAAGCTTCATATAGCCTAGAGGCTAACACACGACGTTTTGTTTAGCACTGGCGCTAATCACAACGCTGCATTTTACTTAGCACTTGCGCTAATCGCACCGCGGCGTTGCAAATAGGCCGCACTTCCTTTTAGTATTATTAATTTGTATCTTTTATAAAAACAATCTTAACAATTCTCGTTCCCTAAATTTACCTTCTCCTCAAAGTTGTACACACACACACACTACACACACAAGCGCACGCGAGCGCACACACACACACAGTCCAAGCAGTCGACAATGAAACCTAATGACGTGGCCTTATAGCGAGGGTCCGCCACAGTGAGATCTAGATCTAGTCTAGATCTAGTCAACTAGATTCTAGCTAGGGAAGCCCAGGAAGAAGACAAAAATAGATGGCAGAAATACGCCATATTTGGGCCAATCACAGAGGTAACGATGACTTGCCAGCAGCTAGATTCTAGACTTGAATCTAGGTGCTCGCTGCCTATGGCCACCTCTATTCTCACCCGGAGTGAGAATAGTGCAGGCGAGTCTTGTGGCTATTCTCACCCGGTGCGCGTTCACCAAATTTTGCGTTCACCCTAAACCACAGAATTCTACACTGTGATAACAGAAAAATTGTAGAATTCTGTGCCGTGAACAAACGTTCCATTACAATAGTAGCCTACTAAAAGCGTACAATTTTGTCTGTGGGCAGTGGAGAGAGAGAGAGAAAGAGAGAGAGCAGTAGCGCAAGAATTTCCGGGCAAAACAAAATGGCGACCCGCGTTGTTCGGCTCGATTCGAAAAGTTAAATAGCCGTAGCATCTTTGTAGACAACCAAATTTATTTACTTTTGTGTTTTAACATCATTTTTTAACTTTGTTTTGGTCAATTTGATCGTCCACACCGATAGACAGTATTCAGAAAGAGACAGAGAGAGAGAGAAGAGGGGAGGAGTTGATCTTGCGAGAACTTCCGGGCGGGTGAGAATAGCCACTTTCGCTGCCTACACTCTCCAATCTCCAACAAGTCTCTCTGTAGCTTCATGTGACATGTGATCTAATTTGGTGTGCATATTTTTCCTTGAAAGAGATTTCAATATTTATAATAATAATAGAAAGGACATAATGATAACAATAATAATAATAATAATAATACGCCACCAACAAGTCTTGGACTTGAGATTTTGGCTTAAACTCAAAACAAGACTGACAAGAACGTTCAAGAAGTGCCTCTGCCAGCCCTGCTGCCTGCTGTAGTCTCTCAACCTGAGCAAGCAAAAGGTAGCACTTGACATCTTTCTACATTGCACTAGAGAAAAGTATGCATATACTAATTTGATAACGTTAATCGTTGTAGAATTCAGTTAATACAAACTTAAAGAAGTACCATAAATCATGCTCGTAAATTTCAAGTTTAGCTGGCACCCAATAACATCGTCGCCATTTTGACGAAATTACGGAAGTATGAAAATAGCTTTGCCAGGTTTTTCTTCGGTGTCAGCATGAGAGATTGTCAGCCCTGCCCAAACTTCAAAATAAGCGCTGGCCATTTTTCTTAGACTGCAATATTTTCTTTCAAAGAAATAGATGATTTGATTATAGATCTATTCAAGCCCTGTCTCTTTTAAAAAAAATCATATTTCTGGCAAAGATGCAAATAGCTGAAACAACATGAGACTTGTATCACTCATTATTAATTAGTTATCATGCGAATATCTTGAAGTAGGAGATGGAACATTTATCGTCTCCATAAAGTTTCGTGTTTTCTTGAATCGTAGTTCATTCAGTTACAAATGAGAAGGCACTGCATCATGTACATGAATTACTTTGAATAGGCATACACTTCTACGCTGTCTTCGAAAATGTTTCTCTCGATTATACACAAACACTCATAGTGTTAGAAAACATGTCATACGTAGAGACCTCTGTTCCATAACAGTAATTGTATTTAAGGGCAAATCTTGAGGGCTACCATAATAAAAAGCACTTTTTCTTGACAAGCAAAAAAGCATGTAGCGACTTGGTCCCAGGAGTTTGATGTAAGGTCCTTGCTTGGTCTCCAATTACGCCTAAGCTGGGTTAGCGTAGAATCTGTTTAGAGCTTTTTCTTTTCTTTTTACTTTTTTTCCTAAGGGATGTTTTTCGCGATTCGCTGTTTTGGACAGAAAAGTAAGCAGATACTTGTTTACATAAAACGGTCTTCACCTAGTACACGTAACTTCACGCGTACAGACAGACAGACAGACAGACAGACACGCGCACAAACACACACACGCACGCGCACACACACACACACACACACACACACACACACACACACACACACACACACAAACACACACACACATACTTGTATAAACATAATTTTCAGAAAGTTTTTAAAAATTGAGTATCAGTTATAACGCTGGCAAAACATGATTTAGCGATTTACTTACGAGGAATAATAATTTATTCCTAAGTTATAATTTCCACATTATGTTTTGTTTTGTTGTTGCTCTTGTTGTTTTTCTGTTGTTATTTGTTCATCTCAACCTTTAGCCATTAAGCAACCCACCCCTATATCCCCACCCCATGCTAGGCCCGTAACCTAATCCTAAAGCCGAAGAACCCCCACCCACCCCACCCCTTCCAACCTCCCTTGAATATCAAGCCTGCAATTAACAAATATTTCAAGAAGAAAACAGCAACAATAACAACAACAACAACAACAACAACAACAACAACAACAATAACAACAACAACAACAACAACAACAACAGCACCAGCAGCAGCAACAACAACAACAACATCAACAACACCAACAACACGAACTTTGATTCAAACCCATAACGTCCGCACGTTTAAGGGGCAATATAACTTAAACATCCACCCCATTAAAAAAATTGTGCGGGTACTTTTGTTTACAGCCAGCATCTAATCCAGTAACCTTGACTCAATGGCACTGAAACTGTTGCTCCTATTCATCGCGTTGCATTTCTATGTGCTCATCGATGCATAATATGTAATGTATCTTTGGGATGGTGCAGGAGTAACACATGCGGTCATAAAATAGCCCACTGCTGACACCACAATCGTAAACGATGGGGTCTATGCCGGTGCTCGCTTTCATTAATTTCCCAACTACGGTACTTGCCCATGTAATTAAATTATTTCTCACCCATGTTTGTTTTTTGTTTAATAAAGGAAAAAAATAAAAGAGAAAGTAAGAGAAAAAAAAATGAAAGAGAAAGAGCAGTATAATGCTATTTTCATTATTCGGTCTATTACGTCCCTTTGACTGGGATCGAATTATGCTGGATTGGAGGGTTGGCGCAAAGGGCATTAAAATTGGAATATTGGGAGGTCTGTGTGTAGATTAAGTGTGTGTGTGTGTGTGTGTGTGTGT